TTTTCTTGTTTATATAATTTTAATGCATCTTTCCTAAGAGTAGTTCTAGAAAAAAATTGTGCATTAGGATTATGTACAATTTTAATATAACGTTGCCAATTTCTTTGTTCAGGAAAACTTAGTGGTTGATCTAATGTGGCTATTAATCGTGCCATTTCCATACGATCAACTTGCGGATCGTATTTCTACGTGCTTAGATTGCCGGTTTGGCGGTCAAACGATAATTGTGTTTGGCGGAGTTGATCTCCGCCTCCTTGCTTTTGAAGACACTTTTCAAAGTGCCTTCTTAAGTGTGTAGTGCCGTGAATAGTGTTACCTTGTAATTTCTCACCACAATATTTACATTGAGCTACGTATTTAATGTTACCGTTATTATCGACGTCTTGAGCTACGTATTTAATGTTACCGTTATTGTCGACGTCCTCGAATGTGTTGAAGTGCTCCCAAACTGCTGAGGTGCGCTTGCATTTCTTCTTAGAACTTGCAACACTTGCACTAGCACTACCGCTTGCCTCTCCTCCACGGCCACTTGTGCCACCACCATTGCGTCCCCGACCTCTAGTACGTCCACCAGGGGTCGGATTTGCAGTTTGATCAGCATCTCTTTCCATAGTTTGCGATTCCTGCGATTGAAAAACATTAGGAAATTGCCCTTCTTCGATGTTGAATTGGGCATCAATAGGAATATCACCACCACCACCATAACCAGAAGAAGCCATTATGAAAAATAAGAGAGATTGAGAGCGCTTTGAGAGAGCGAGATTCGAGAGAGATTTAAGCGAGATTAAGAGAGATTTGAGAGAGATTAAGAGAAATTGAGAGAGATTAAGAGAAATTGAGAGAGAATGAGAGTTTTGGGGTGAGGGGGGTATTTATAGGAAAATTTTTTGGTTGAAAAAAAAAAATTTTCCCCCAAAAAATCGGGTCCAACGGTTACAAAATTTTTGGGCAGGTTGGGCAAAATTCAGGCAGTTCGGGCAACGGATAAAATCCGACCGTTTGGTTCAAAAATTCGGGCACAATTCGGGTTTGGGTTTGGGCAGAAGACCTTTTTTTTCAAAATTTGGGCATTTTCGGGCTAACGGTAAAAAAAAATCGGGCATTTTTCGGGCACGGGTCGAAATTCGGACAACGGTCACCAAAATTCGGGCAACAGTCACAAAAAATTCGGGTAATTCGGGCAGTTCGGGCAGCTTCGGGTATTTGCCGGAAAATTCAAAAAAAATCCGGCGAACGGCGAGGGAAGGCTTCTCCACGGCGGCGGGCTGTCGGGGGCTTACCATTTTCGGGCTACCCGAGCCCGTGCCCGAAGAAAATCATTTTCGGGCGGCGAGAGGGGCCTGCCCGCCGTGCCTGAAAATTTTCGGGCATCGGGCATGCCCGCCGCCCGAAAGTCCAACACTAGTGTGGAGGAGACCCTAGCTCAAGTTTCTGGAATGGACGGGAAAAAGTATGTTAAAATTTAATTGTGCTTATTTAGTGTCTAAGACATGTCCAAAATAAAATGGTTTGTGGGTTACTTGCCGTCACCATTAAGCCATCAATTTGAGAGTAATGAACTCTCCACTCCAATAGCCTCTCCACACACAGAGTATCCCCATATACAAAATGGCCACACACTCTCATTGACCACAACAGCCATACACGCACATATATATATATATATATATATATATATATTTATATTTAATGTATTCAAGACATCGAAAAATTTCATCCACTTTGGTGGAATGAATGCAAACTAAGCCGTGGGTTACTTGCCGTCACCATTAAACCGTCGAAACTTGCTGATGGAACAGATTTGAGAATAATGAAATCTGCACTCCAATAGCCTCTCCACACACAGAGTACCCCCCATATACAAAATGGCTACACACTCATTGACCACAACACCCATACACACATAAATAAATACATATGTATATATATATAATGTATTCTCCGTTGACCATATATGGGCTTAAGTTCAGTAGGCTATTGAGTTTTATTAATTGTGTTAGAGAGGTTCTTTGGCCTAATGAGCTGATAAAAGTATTTACGAGAGAGAGAGTTTATGAACTCCAAGCTAATCAATAAAATGAATGTTCATCTTATTGTAAATCGATATTTAACATTCATGCATAATTACATTCTTAATAATAGAGTTGCCCATAATATGCTTAATTCACTTTATAATAATGGAAGTCAACATAAAAATATTTCAACAAAGTATTAGTGTGGAATGATTTGTTTATACAAGACAGGATAGAGCCCGTAATCTCTGTCCAAACCCCTTTCCATTCAAACTCCCGGTGTCACTAGACCAAACAGTCTGAGGCCTTCACATGGAATGATTCAATCGCTGAAAGATTAGATTAGTGGTGATCTGATGATTCGGGCTTTCCGCTGCCTAGAGTTGGGTATTCAACCTCAACTGATTGTAAAAGAAAAAAAAAAAGAATCAAAGCCCATCCCAAGCAGCTGATTTACCTAATCAACGACGTTACTGATAGTTCGTACGTGATAATTCTATTGCATTTGCATATGAACATACTGACCAATCATGAAACTTTGGCCGTATTTAGAATTGATCTCATTTTTATTTTTCACATTTTTTGAAAAAGAAAAAATAAAAATGTTTCTAAAACGGCGTTTGGCGCAATAAAGACAAAAAATAGAAATGAAAATAATTTTTTAGTTTAGTGTAAAATGAGAGAGAAATGAAAAATGACTTTTAGTCGTTTTTTATTTTTTGTTTTCGTTTTCTCCTCTCTCAAGCAGAGAGAAAAAGAGAGAGACATTAATGAGTTTTTTTATTCTGAAAATAATCTCTTGATAAAATTACCAAACGCATTTTCAAAAATGATTTATGTCTGAGATTGAAAACGTTTTCATTTTCATTTTCATACAAAAAATAAAATTATTTTGAAACGAATTCCAAATGCGTTCGTTGTTTCTTCTCATTTTTTAATCTGACCTACTTCAAAAGTAAATAAATAATAACCCACCTCTTTAACAACTTCAATCATCTTATTAATCAAAGTGATAAAAACTAAATCTATAATGACTATTTGATCATCACACGGTAGACAATTCTAAAATGGTCTATGAACTTTACATGAAAGGCATTTCTTCAAGTTAGGGAAATTATATACCTCAATTCGTCGTTTCAAAATTTGGCAACAGAAAAAATGTTGTAACAAAAATTTATCAACACACAAAGTCAACAAAAATTTATCAAAAAAATGTAGCAGATTCTATCACTGTGCTCAAGATAAATCAATAATCAACGAAATTAGAGACAATCAACGCATATATATACAACAGGATCATCTTGTCAACATATTAGCAAAAAGGAAAAAAAAAATTATTTTAATATTCAATACCAGTAATATTGCAATAAGCAACATTCAATTCTAATTCCGTCAAACAAGCAGAATGGGAAAAAGGTAATGGTGGTTTTTCAATGCGAAATCAATAACCATGACAATTCCTAGACTATCCTAATCAAAATTACATAAAAACAAAAAAATTTGGTCCACAAAATTAAAAAAAAAAAAAAAAACCCAAAATAAAATACCACGAGTGCTTCCAAACTCACATGGGTTCGATCAGCAAAAAACCCAGATTGAAAACATTCTTTGGATAAGCAGGTAGACGATGTTGACATAAGTAAAAACTAAATAATGTTTTTGGAGGAAAAAAAAAAAAAAGTGAAACTAGCCTTTGAAGACCGAAAATCTCGCCCAAAATTTGTAACCTAACAAAGGTGAAAAGGTGAAATCTACTTCCAAAATGGAGCTTCAACTTGCCTCCTTTGTCTTTCTAAAATGGGGTTTTAGCATAATTACCCTCCAAACTTATTGCAGTTTAATAAATTGATTTCTAAATTTTTAATTTTGACAATAAACTTCTAAATTTGTAAAATTATTATAATATGCTCTATATTATTAAATATGTTTAAATTTTTATTAGATTTAAGAGATTAAAAATTGAGTAATCGAAAGATTTATATTACTTTTGAATTAAAATATTGACATTTTTTTTAAATGTTTTTTTTTCGAGACTAATTTAACACAATTATTAATGAGGCTATTACACCAAATTTTCAAGTTGAGGGCCCTCTAAACTTGATCCTCAGTTAATTCTAATATTGCGTAAACATAAAAGGATATAAAAAATAACGGAAATTTTCACTCTGTCACCCTATATTTTATCAAAATGCGTTTAGTATATATTTTAAGTTTTTGATAATTTTATACAGGTACATTAATGCTTTAGAAAATAATTTTTTTATACCCGAGAGTTTTTTGAGACGTTAAATGTCAAAGTTTTTTTTTTTTTTTTTTTATCGGATCATGTCCCAACAAAAAACCCTCTCTCTCTCTCATCACTATCACAGTAACGCTTCTTTCATACTGAAATATTGAGCGCCGCCATTCTACTTTCTTTTATTTTAAATTTTATTTTCCAATTTTAAATTCTTTTTGTTTTTTCATAAATCATAAGGTTTGTTATACTTAGCGAAACCCCAGCAATATTTAAACACGTTTTTTTTCTGTTTTCCAAATCATTAGCTAAAAAGAAGGAAATAATTATGGCAAAAAAAAAAAAAAGCTGCTTGTAACCCTACATTCGAACATAACAAAATAATTCATTTATAAGCATTCATATTCTTAGACGCTTACAATTCAAAAAGATGAAGGAAAAATAATTCAAGAACGTGACTGCTCTTTATTCCGAATTGCACCCCAAAAGGAAAATAAAAAAAAAATGTTGGACGACGATCTCAATTTCGATCACGGAGAAGAAATGCCGATGGATTTGGAAGCCGCCGGCGGCGATAATGACGACGACGACAATGAATCCTACGCGACGGCATCGGCCGCCTCGCAACAGTATTCCGTCACTGACATGGGCATTGATGACGTTGCCTCAGAAAACCATCCTATTATTGATGACTGCATGAGAACTTCTGCGTGGCCACTCAGCTATGGGTAAATTAATATTTGCGCACACAAAATACTCACATTTAAATGTAGAGTTCAAATCCCCCGCTCTAAGTTTATTTGAAAAAAAAAAAAAAAAACCATTCACATTTGTATTTCATGATGTTTTTATTTTCGTGCTTGAGAATGATCAACTTCTTATATAAAATTCATTTATACTAGTTGAGTCTCTAGCTACTTGAATTAATGTTCTTGAGGAATGGGTTTCAACTTTCAAACAATATATGTTGTAGTAATATGATAATAGTGGATTTTTTCAATAGGAAATTTACCAAATCTAAGATAGGATATATATATGTACAATCATGTTTAATATGATAATAGTGGATTTTTTCAATAGGAAATTTACCAAATCTAAGATAGGATATATATATGTACAATCATGTTTAATATGATATATTGAATTTGCACAGGCATTCAATTAACGTTCTCTCAAGCTCTCCTTCCATGAGTATTGGTAATTGGGGGACTGTTTCGGCGAGCAAACCGCCGCAAGTGGTTTTCGAATCTTCGATGTCTCGACCTTTGATCGGCGGGGATACTTCAGCATCCTCTGTGAAACTCTCCATGTTTTCCTCCCCGCAATTCTCCAGCGCCGAGCTGCCAACACCAAATAGGCAGTGTTCAACTATGCAAGCAGGATTTAATGGTAACAAATTCTTCTTGCTTTACTTCTGCCAAAATATTAAAGAAATTCCATAACTCTTCTTCCATTAATCTATTTTAATAAAATCATTGTTCAATGAGGAACAACAAAATCAATAGCTACTTTTCTTTTCTTTTCTTTTTTTTTTTTTCTTTTTTTGGCTCCAAAGCCTACTAGGAAATTACATATCTCATAATTCTACATCATAGTTTCATTTTTTCTTTTTTTCATTGCAATTAAAAGGGATTCATGAGGAAATACATAAACCTTGTCTTATGATTTTTGCAGGAATTAATATGCTATGTGGTATAGGCCTACTCACAATTTCATATGCCATAATGCAAGGAGGGTGGTTGAGCCTCCTCCAACTAGTATTTTTCGGTGTTTTGGCTTTCTATACAGGCATTTTGTTGATGCGATGCTTAGAGAGCAATCCGGGATCACTCCGAACTTACCCTGATATTGGTCAAGCTGCTTTTGGCTTTAGAGGTCGCATACAAATATCTGTAAGTTTAACCTTTGTGTATATACACAATTCCCCCTCTTTAACTTATAGTCATAAGTACAAGTTTTCTATTGTTTGAAGAAACAGTACTAACACTTGAGCTTCTTGTCAAATGCAGATAATTTTGTACTTGGAACTCTTTGTAAGTGCAAGGAATTATGTTCCTTTGTTATTTTGGCTTCAAAGAATAGCTGATGTTCAGAAGACACCATAACTCATAATTGGTGGGTCCCACATGTGTAATGCCCGTGTGTGTGGGACGCACCATAGTGGTGTCGAGCACTACTGATGCCTTTTATCATGGTATGAAAATGTGACTAGTACTTTTGTTGTAGGGTGCTTGTGTGGAGTTTTTGATCTTGATTGCCGGTAATTTGGCATTATTATTCCCAAACGCCTGTATGACTTTTGCTGGAATCCATCTCGGCAGTCATCAACTATTTACCATTGGAGCGGCTCTGTTAGTTCTTCCAACTGTCTGGCATCAAAATCTTACTTTGCTTTCATACTTCTCAGGTACTTTCCCAACATCTATTAAACACTTCTTCATCTTACATGTCTCCATGCTTCAATTTCATCAAATATTACATGATCTTATAAGCTGTAGCTTATTTTCATCATGACATTTGAGTCTAAACGCATTCTTTTTATTCAGTTGGAGGAGTAGTTGCATCCGTTCTGGTGGCGCTTTGCCTGTTATGGATTGGGGTGTTTGACGAAGTCGGGTTTCATGCCGCAGGAACACCTTTAAACCTTTCAAATCTATGTGCCACTATTGGCATATATGCTTACGCTTTTGCAGGTCATTCGGTATTTCCGAATATCTACACTTCCATGAAAGAGCCGTCGCGATTTCCATATGTTCTAGTGATGAGGTGAACAAAAAAATATTTCCATCTAAGTTTCATGAATTTTACACGTTACCAACGGAAATTTGCTTGTGAAAACAAATTATAGATCCAATAATTTTAACTAGAATAACTAATTTGCAGCTTTGTATCCTGTCTTCTTATCTCTATTGGAGTTGGAGCATGCGGCTGTCTAATATTTGGGGACTCCATTGAATCTCAGCTCACTTTGAGCATGCCCAAGAAGTTTGTTGCTTCTAAAGTTGCAGTTTGGACAATGGTATGACAAGTTACTCAGTGCATTCTTAATAATATGCTTCATTTGTACAAATATACGTACTTATAATAACGAAGTAACTAAACCTAAAGCTTTATTGAGTAATTCATTTTATTTGCAGGTTGCCATTCCCTTGACAAAGTATGCTTTGACAATCACGCCCGTGGCATTGAGTTTAGAGGAACTCCTGCCTTCGGATTTGCGCGGATCTTATACCGTCCCGGTTTTTATCAGAAGTTCTCTAGTTCTGTCAACTTTAGTTGTGGCCTTAACTGTCCCATTCTTTGGTAACCAACCTTTTACTTTTCACATACACTGGTGTTTGCTCTTGTCATCTAACCTCTTATATTTTGACAAACTACTTCAGAATTAGCAACAAACACATTCGTCAAAAAAAAACTAATACCAGTTTACTAACAAATCAGTTTTATTTGTCAATTGATTTGTTTTGTAGCATCCGTGATGGCGTTACTTGGTTCTTTGTGTGCAATGCTAGTGGTGAGTCCCTTCTTCCAATATATTTCTAATTTTTCCACAAACAAAAGGCTTGTTCAATTGCCAATGCCATAATAAATTATATGGTGCGTGATAATAAAATTGATGGTTTTGTAATGATCCTTTTTTTGTTTCCCCCGCAGTCTTTCATCTTCCCATGTGCTTGTTATCTTAGCCTGTTCAGAGGAAGGCTAAGGAAGTTGGAGGTAAGGAACTAAATCCATGTCCTATCACATCATTGTAGTGTCATTGTTTCTATAGCCCTGTTCTTAAAATTGTGCTGTCTTGCTCCAGATCACGAGTTGTGTTTTCGTTATCGTCGTTGGGGTGATATGTTCTGTTCTTGGCACGTGTTCGGCGATAGCAGGACTAATTGCACAAAACAGAGCCTAAAAGTAGAAAACAACAGTGCTTGGAGTTGCAATGAGGTTCCCTGCAATAAGACTCAAATCAGCTAAAAGAGTAAAGGCGGACCCTAGTGCTAAAAAAGCTCCTGTACTACAACAGGCTCGGGAGAAAGCTCAATCCCATATGCCAAGAACAAAAATCAGCTAAAAAGAGTAAACAACAACAAAAAAATGCTAACGCAGTAATTAGCCGTGGTGGAAATTGGAAAGCATATGAAAAATGTAGCACATATTTTATTTTAGTCATTGCTCGTTAATTCTTTTAGTTTAGTACTCTCTAATGTTGGTTTGGTATCTTTAGATAAATTGATGTGCATTAGTTCCAACTTAATAACATCATCATCAAAGCACATTCCCCATACAATCGAGGTCAGTTCCAAATTAATAACATACAAAATAAATCTTCTTGTTTTGTTAATAAATTGGGCTCGTTTAGTCCGCTGATTCGAGTTGAGATGTGACTTTATGTGAGAGCTTTTTATTGTAGTAAAAAAATTAGATGCGACTGTTTCTGAGAGTTTTTTACTGTAGTAAAATTTGAATTCTAAACTCGAATCAGTAAAATGAACGGGCCTTAAAACATCATGGTAACTCCACCTCCTAAAAAATTAGACTATTAGAGCTTGTTGTTTGGCTACAGTATCCTGTGAGGATACTGTTGTAGTAGTAATCTATCTTGCCTATTAAGATATAACAATGCTTTAGCAATTCATTCTTACTCTATTTTCAATCCAACCATTATATTCAGGAAAAAAAACAAAAAAACAAAAAAAGAAACAGGAATGTTATGTATACGTCCGCTTGAGCAGCCCCAAAACGATTGATAATGGACCCAGCCATGATCTTGTGTCTTCAAACCGTTGAGCACAACATGTGAAGCCACTTGACCGTTGTGTTTTGACCGTCCTCCAACAACTGCTTTTGCAGGCAAAAACTAAAACCGGATTTTGACAACCTCATTAATTACTATTCTTATGTTGTCTATAAACATCTTTGGAGAACATTAATGCCCATTTTTTGCCTATACTATGAAAATAGGCTCCTAGATTTTAGGAGTTTATTTTATGAGCACTTACGTTTGGTTAGAGGATTCAAACCATGTGATTCGAACTATTTTCGATTTACGTGAATTTTTTGTGAGAGAAAATACTGTAACGAATCACAAATCATAATTCAAATCAAGAAACGAATCCCTCTACTAAATATTTATAATTATTATACTTATAAGTTTCTCCGTATACTCTCGAAAGGTTGGATGGAGTGGTTGTGGACTCCTCTTTAGACTCTCATTAAGGAAGAGATCTAAGATTCATGTCCCCAGATCTACCTACATTTCTAGTTGTTATGAAATTAAACGAGTGATCTGAATTGATCAAATAGACCTTTGCCAAGGCTATAGGAAAAGGACAAATCACTAGTTGGCTTTATTATATTTCTTACCCTCATCCCTCACCGACTTCATGCGTGTCCCAATCTCAAAGGCTACTGTCCAAAGCCCTTGTCTTCCTCTTTTGTGGGCATTTCTTGTCTCCTCTTACCACTCTCTTCTGGTTTATGTCTATACAGTCCCTATGGCCAACCTACTAATTCATGAGGCCTATATGTATCTTAACTCAAAATGTCAATATATATCGGAAATAATGTATCCCCGTTCACTTCACTGATTCGAGTTTAAAATTTGAGTTGAGATGTGACTTTATGTGAGAATTTTTTACTGTAACAAAAAAATTAGATGTGATTGTTTGTTAGAGTTTTTTACTGTAAAAAAACTCAAATTCTAAACTCGAATCAGCGAAATGAACGAGGCCAGTTTATGGGCGCGTTTGGAACTCGTTCCAAAATAATTTTTTTTATGAAAATAAAAATGAAAACGTTTTCAATCTCAGACAGAAATCATTTTTGAAAATGTGTTTAGTAGTTTTATTAAGATATTATTTTCAGTGTAAAAAACCCATTAATGTCTCTCGTTCTCTCTCTCTCTTTGCTCGAGAGAGGAGAAAACAAAAACAAAAAATAAAAGACGACTAAAAGTCGTTTTTCATTTCTCTCTCATTTTACACTAAACTAAAAAATCGTTTTCATTTCCTTTTTTATCTTTATTGCGTCAAACGCCGTTTTAAAAATATTTTTATTTTTTCTTTTCTCGAAAAACATAAAAAATAAAAACGGGATCAATTTCAAACACAACCTATATTTGTGATTAGACATACATATTATACTATTTTTAATGCAACAGACATATTAGACATTTGGACGTCCATATATAGTTGAGAAATAAAAGTGCTAATCCTTTAACAGATTACTGTATTTTATCTAAATTTTTCTGCTAATAAATAGAGCCTAAATTTGTAATTATATATATATATATATATGCTACTCTTTTTGGAGACAGAGAGACTGCACCGTCATAGAAATCCAAGTTTTCCGACCATAAACTTTCGTATGTACGAATGAGTATTATATTATAGGTGTTGATGGTTCAGGATTATTTACCTTGTCTATTTCCTTTTTTTAACTAAACCAATCATCTGGTCTCTTACTTATTCCCATGCCTTGCGGAAAAAATAAAAAATAAAAAATAAAATAACCCCTTTTCTTCCATGCTTCTTTTTTTTTTTTTTGTACTTTTAATTTTTTGTCAATTTTTCCTAAAACTAAAAAAAATCTAGAAAAAGACATCATTAAATTTAAAAGATAAAAAGTGGGTCTAAAATATAGTAATTAAAGTGGGAAATAAACATCTCTCCCTCCCAATCCTTCCTCACAAAATCATATAGGAGGGTCGGATCAAGGACAATAACGTTGGCACTTAGATTTATTTATTGGATCAAGAACAATAATAATATAGTCACTTAGCTAGCATTTTTAATAGAAAAAATAGTCAATCTAAATTATGCTAGGAATAGACACACTGAACAGTAATACAAATGAAGGGCTGATATTACAATGAATATTCACAGATCTTGCAGTTATGTAGATGTTTAGTTCATAGATTCAGAATTATTTTTATTTTACTTGTGTTTTTTATAAAAAAAAAAAATACTGTAAAGAATCATGAATTATGATTTAGAATCAAGAACGAATATAAGAAATAAACGTCCTATAAAACTTTATCAGTAACTGAATTCGGTCAAACAGAGCCACTATGTCCAAGGACCAGGTAATTGTTTTAGGACAATTACCAATATATATATATATATATATAGGAATTTATAGGATATCTTTACAGGGTAATATATTTCTTAATTAAGGGGCAAAATGTGCGTGTGTGGGTGTGTGTAAATATACACACGGAAAACTGTAAGAATTTTATTAAGGGCAGTCCACCAAATTTACATCAAAAATATAGAAGGTGCCCTCTTCAAACCAAAAGGAATCATTCCAAGATTGCCAACCATTAAAGAAAAAGCAAAGGCAATTTCTACATTAGCTAGGCAATATTCAATTATAGTTCAATTTTTTCGAAACTACTGCAAATTCAAGGCTCGTTCAATTTACAGATATAAATTTTTAATTTAAATTGAGATATAATTTTATTTAAAAATTTTTTTACTATAATAAAAAAATTAATTAAATATGATTTTTTATAAAAAATTTTAATTGTAACAAAATTAAAATTAAAAGCTTGAATGAAATAAATGATGTCTCGTCGGATTTGTCATTTTGTTGTAACAATATTAGCGTATTGGGATTTGACTTGTGGGCATTTATTATCACGTGTTAAACTTGGTTATGGGCATTTAATCAAATTATATATTAACAGAGCCAGCTGTTTTAATTAGATAATTAATTAATTAATTATCTATTCACATTTTTAAACCCACTTGTCTTTCACTTTCGGTACGGAGTTTGGACTCGTGCATGGACCATGACGATACCGATGATAGGCTGACACGCATGTATCTTACACCCGTCTTTATTACTCATTTATCACCCCATAAATTAAAAGTCCGTTTAGTTTATTAATTTAAAATTTTAATTTAAATTAAAATATAATATTATGTGAAAATTTTTTATTGTGATAAAAAAATTAAATATAATTATTTTTAAAATTATTTTACTGTAATAAAATTTAAATTTTAAACTTAAATCAGCGAAAAGAATGGACCTAAACTAACTGCCCTTGTTTTGGAATCAAACAAAAAACTTTAAAAAATAAATTTAAAAAAAAAGAAAGAGAGAGAGAGGTGGTGAAGAGAAATAAAGCAATCTAATAACCTCTTCTTCATGATGACATTATCTTCCAAATGCCTTGACAATCTAACTTGACATTGTACGTACCAATTAAAACCAAGAAAAAAAAAAAACACCAAGATAGTTTGTTGAGTCTGATACGTAACCAAAAACATACCAAACCAAATCACCCCTTCTAGATCTACCTTCAACGTAGCAGTCTCGGTCTCCACAATAGGAGTGTTTGCGGTCAGTTTTGACCCCTTTTTTTTTTTTTTTTTTACAAATTACTAATTAAACCAAAAATAATTTTCTCTTTTAAAGGGTTTGATATTTTTAATAAAAATTAAATTAAACTAAATTATTCATAAATAATTTAGACGGTTTAAACTCAATACTAAAAAAGTTTTTAATAATTCATAAAAATTATAAAATCGTTAATCAATAAAAATAAAAAATAAAATTTAAATTTACAATATAACTCAAAAATAATAAATATTTAGCGGTCCACCATTTAAATTTTTAATACAAATCACCAAAATATAATATGGTGTATTTTATAAGTGTAGAAGCTTTATTATGACTAATAAAAATTAAAATAAATATAAAAAATATTTTAAAATTTTAAAAATTATATTTATTTATTTTTAAGCAGTTGAAAAGTCTAAATTACAAATTAAACCGTCTAAAAAAATTAAATTAAAAAACTGACTACACCATTTAATAATTTAAAAATAATTAACAATTTAATTCAATTTAATTTAAATTGGACAATTTGTACGATTTGTAGGATTTTTTTACCACCCCTGCTCTACAATATCTTTGCACATGATGAACAACCACAAAAACACGTTTTCATCTCAAATTAATTTATTTATAAATTTCCCAAAAAAAAAAATGTACATCGACAGATTCCTTGCTTTGTCTCCCAAAAATACCCACTAAAATTTAACAACTTCTTCTTCTTCTTCTACATTTCTCTCAACAAACTCAAAAAGAAAAAAAGAGGAAAAAAAAAAGACACCAATGAGAGACTTGTATATTCTGGTCATCACCACCATCACTTGCATCATCCAAACCATCCTCTCCTCCTCCTCTTCTTCTTCTTCTTCTTCTTCATCAACAGAGAGTGAAATCCTGATTTTGCCCCTCAAAACCCAAGAAATCCCATCTTTATCCAAACTCCCCTTCCGCCACAACGTCACCCTCACTGTCTCATTGGCCGTCGGCTCGCCCCCACAGAATGTTACCATGGTCCTCGACACAGGCAGCGAGCTCTCGTGGCTCCACTGCAACACAACTCAAAACAACGCCAGCAAGGAAAGCAACTTCTTCGACCCGACTCGATCCGCTTCATACTCTCCGGTTCACTGCTCCTCTCCGGTCTGCACGAACCGGACCCGCGACTTCGCCATCCCGGCCTCCTGCGACTCCAACGACCTCTGCCACGCCACCCTCTCCTACGCCGATTTCTCGTCCTCGGAGGGAAATCTCGCCTCCGAGAATTTCCATATCTCGAGCTCCAATATGTCGGGTCTTGTATTCGGGTGTATGGGGTCCACATTCAGCTCCAACGCCGACGAGGATGCCAAGACCACGGGCCTCATGGGCATGAACCGTGGGTCCCTCTCTTTCGTCTCGCAAATGGCCTTCCCCAAATTCTCGTACTGCATCTCGGGCTCCGATTTCTCGGGCGTCCTATTACTTGGCGAGTTCTCGAGCTCCTCCTCGGTTTTTATCTCGCCGTTAAATTACACGCCGTTAGTCCAAATCTCGACGCCGTTACCGTACTTCGACCGGGTCGCCTACACGGTCCGGCTCGAGGGGATTAAGGTTTCGGATAAGCTTCTTCCGATACCCGAATCCGTATTTGTACCCGATCATACTGGGGCGGGTCAAACCATGGTTGATTCGGGTACCCAGTTCACGTTCCTTCTCGGGCCGGCTTATTCGGTTCTAAGAGAGGAGTTTTTGAACAAAACGACAGGCGTTTTGACTGCCTTGGAGGGATCAGATTTTGTTTTCCAAGGAGCTATGGATTTGTGTTACCGGGTCCCACTGAAGGAGTCCGAGAACGTTTCCAAAGTGGTGCCGAGTGTGAGCTTGGTGTTTGATGGTGCTGAGATGAGTGTCTCGGCTGAGAGTTTGTTGTATCGCGTTCCGGGCCAAGTTAGGGGGACTGATTCGGTGTATTGCTTCACGTTTGGGAACTCTGACTTGTTGGGCGTTGAGGCGTTTCTGATTGGTCATCACCATCAGCAGGACATGTGGATGGAGTTTGATCTCGAGAACTCGAGGATTGGTCTGGCCCACACGCGGTGTGATCTAGCCGTCCAGAGGCTGGGTTTGGCCACATAAACCACTCTTACGGGCATAGGTTCGTTTGTAGCGAATCATTGAGATTTTTGTTTGAAAAATGCTTAGAGAAAAATCACCATAATATAAGGTGAGTCTTACGTGCGAAGATAATATTATATAACCTACCTTATCATAGAGTCCAAGCGCTTAGCATTGCTATTTTTGTTATTGTTGAATTTGTTAAATTTGATCAAGATCATCAAACGTACCACTTATCTCATCATCTCACAGAGTGACACGTGGGATGATCAAGCCGGTTTTGTTTTACTGTGGTCCGGGAAAGTGGGACCTGTGTTTTGTGTGGCTCATAATCATATACTTGAGAATGGTGATAAGTTGTGGAAGATGATTTTTCTTCCGCTCTGTACATCGGATCTTTAACCTCCATGAATTATGTATTGTGTCATTAAATTTTTTTCTGTCCTTTTTTTTTTTTAAAGTGATTATTTCCAATCTTGTAATAATATGCTCGTACTATTGTCGCTTCAGTGTGAGAGTGAAATGTCGTTTTCTAAACCCATATAGCTTTTAACATATTGTTTGTGATGTGTCGTAAAGATGCCAAATATTGGTATTGCCAATTGGATTTATCAATAATGCATACTTGTTTAAAGTACTTGAGTTATTACTCAATAGCCTAACTAACATTAACCAGTTAAGTTGTTAATTCATGTGATGGGATTAATTTTCAAGCATTTTATGCGTACAAAACCCAAAACAATGATACTCAACTTGCTGCAAATCGTCCTGCTAAATATTAGAAAGAAATTAACTTTATATGTATGACTTCTTTTTTCCTTCCTTCTTTTTTTTTTTTGGCTGAAGGAACTGTCTATGATATTAGATTTATTAACGAAATACTATTAAATTATAAAATGGAAATGAGTCGCAGTGTCACACATAATGTAGTTTCTATTCGATAAACTACTTTTTGTCTCATTTTTTTATAGGCAATAAGAAACGTGGCAGCCTTGGATCCTTTATTGGGCACTAAAGCAAAATGAACTATTTTCGCATTTCAGAGAGAGTTTAAGGAAAGCTTATAATGCTAAGAACTTGTTTGGATTGTTTTTTTTTTTTTTTTCACAAAAAAGAAAATGCTTTTTTTAGATAGATAATTTTTTAAAGTGTTTTTAGCTATATAAACACTTTTAGAATAAGTCACCTCTTTGGTACTTATTAAAAAAGAGTTTATAAAAAGTTTTTTCTTTACCTTTTTAACCTTTTATTTGTGAAAAATAAATTAAAATTTTCATCCATATCTTTCTACTACATTAATTTTTACAACAATAATATGTTTTTTTCATAACTTAAGTTGTGTATGTGAGAGAAAAATTTTATAGAAAAAAAATTGAATTTGAATTTTTTTATGAGAAAACACTATAACAATAGAACTTAAATTGTGAAAAAGAACAAACATGTTTAAGAGCTCTTCTAAAATATAAAAACATTTTTTATGCAATATTCAAATATTAATTAAAAAAACTTTAATTTATACTTTTCTTTTTCTAATGTTTAAAGTAAAAACATAAGCTATTCTAAAGAGGTCCAATGAATTTTTTTTTTTTAAATAGTTAGAATAAAGTATCTATAAAACCGGGACGTCAATAAATTAATGAGGGTAAAAAGTAATCCGGTTCTTGCCCTTTTTTTATTTATTGCATTCAAAATAGCACATGCAAAAGCTTGACAGAGCATAAAAAGATTGTTTATGTTATTCCATAAATTCTTTGTTTTCTGGTGTTGGAGCAACTGTATAATGCCATTTGCCACACGTGTGTGGCTGCAACCGCAACCCAACACAAATGGTTGTTCTTATTTCTTTATTGTTGTTATTATCATTATTTTTCTTCTTAACTCTTGTCATTATTACTATTATGGATAAAGCCTAAAGCACCAAAACAAAAGAGGAAAAACAAAAAAACAAAAAAACAAAAAAAGCAAAAAACAAAACGTTGGATACTTTCTATCTTTTCCAATCGCTTTTGCAATTTTTCTTGTTGAAAACGTTGATAATGATATTAGTAGATTTTGACAAAAACGATAACCACTAGTCTTGTCAAAATCTCTCTCAAAAAAAAAAAAAATTTAATAATAATAATAAAACAAGTATCTAAGGATTGAGGTATTGAGCCGTGACCAAAACCAGTTAACATCAAAAGCTGTTAGAACTTAGAATTCTGCAATGAGGAGTGCGACCAACAGCTAATAAGTTGGACTTAATCCCTTTCATTGATTTGCCTTGATTATCAAGTATCAAAGGTAGGAGGCTGAAGGCTACCAGGCAACCATGCCCAGTTAATCCCAATTTTCTGAAGGCTACCAATTAACTATTGCCCAATTCTACTTAAAATTCTTTTACTTTGATAAAAAGATATTAAAAATTAAAGTAAAAAATAAAAGAGATCAAAGAAGATACAAGTTTAACAAACATGGTTTTGCAATGTGCATGCATTTATAGACAAGGAAAAGAGATAGAATTAACTAGTGAGTAACATTATAAAGTTACAATCATATAATTGCGTAAGTTATCAAAAAGAAAAACAAAAGATTTCCTAGTTAACATGAAAATATACACCAGATAAAATTAGAACTAATAATTTAAGAATACTTGAAAACCCTTTTATGACAAAATACCACAAAAGCACAATATGGTACAAGTTGAACCAAGTCTTCGCTGAGTATGACCTCAAAAGTTGTCCAAATCCAAAGGGGCATTTTTGAAAATTTTTTTTTATACCGTTAAGGCATAATTTTGAGATATTACAATCTAGCTTCAATATCACTCTAAAATAAAGCTTGACCAGCAACTCTAGGGTGATAAAATAGTGCTATATGTTGCTGAAGCCATTAGGATGTCTGGCAATGTAATCTAACTCACCTAATTAACCAAACCAGCCTCTACTAGCCATTTTTTTTCTCAGTATATAAAAACCATCTCATTTTGATATTTCTCTTCATCCGAAGAACTATAATTCTTAGTATTACATCGATCAATAGGTAACAAAAGTGAGAGAATATATCAGTAAAAAAAAAAAAAAAAAAAAAAAAAAAAAAAAAAAAAAAAGTGATAGAATATATGGCTTATAGCTTTCTTTTGTCATCACCAACCTTTTTGAAGGCTATCTTCTTTACATTATGTGCAATCTTGTGGGTGTTTCCTGAGTTGGCGTTTGCAAAGCATGCAGGAATCACTAGGCACTACAAGTTTGATGTGAGTACTATATATATATGTGTTGCTTTTGCTTTACAAACTTTTATCATGCCTCTTAAGTTCTGTACTTGTGACATTTGTGGGCCCTCATGTACAGGCTTACATGTGCTCCCGGGGTTAGAGGGAAAAGCATAATTAAATATAAAATATATCAAAAAATAAATAAATGGCTGGAAAGGATGATTAGTGTCCGTTTTGTTCGCCGATTTGAGTTTTTAATTCGAAATGAAATGTGACTTTATGTGAGAGTTTTTTATTGTAGTAAAAAAGTTAAATGTGACTGTTTCTGAGAACTTTTTATTGTAACAAAACTTAAATTCTAAACTCGAATCGATAAAATAAACAGGATCTTAATATAAAAAAATTAAAAATAATAACTGTTTCGTCCTCTATTAAATTGTCCTTTATATTGTCAAAATACAATTCAATAAAAACAATAAAAATATCAGAATCGGTTGAATATAAACACATGGAAGCATATTGTTTTTTTTTTTTTATGTTGATTTTTTTTTTTTTAATATTGCTTTGCAGATCAAGTTACAAAAAGTGACAAGATTGTGCCAAACAAAAAGCATTGTGACTGTCAATGGACAGTTTCCAGGGCCTCGGATTATAGCAAGAGAAGGAGACACGCTCCTAATCAAGGTTGCCAACCATGTCCCCAACAATATCACCATTCATTGGTAAGAAACTATATCATTTATCCTTGTAATCAATTAGTACTTTTTTTTTCATATTGTTTAAGCTTGAGGTAGTTCGGATATATCCAACGTAAACTGCTAGAAATATCAATTCGTGCTTGGGAGGATATTCTTATACCTAATACTAGGAGAGAGAGGGGTAGACCAAGAATTACGTAGACCGAAATTGTTAGCAAAGACATTCTAGATCTAGGCCTTCAGGAAAGTATAATTTCAAACATAACCGTGTGAAAAAGTGAAATCTATATAACCGACTCTAATTAAATTAAAATTAAGGCTTGTTATTATTGTTGTTGTATATTGTTTAAGGTTTGTATTTGCATATAATACAGGCATGGAATTCGGCAACTAAGAAGCGGATGGGCAGATGGACCTGCTTATGTCACGCAATGCCCGATTCAAACGGGTCAAACTTATCTCTACAACTTTACCGTTACTGGGCAACGAGGCACCTTGTTTTGGCACGCTCATATCTCATGGCTCCGAGCAACCGTCTATGGTCCTATTGTCATCCTCCCTAAAAGAAATGTCCCTTACCCATTTCCCCAGCCCTTCAAGGAAGTTCCCATTATTTTTGGTAATACAAATTTCTTTACAACAACAAAATACCAAAACTGGAAAAAAAAAATAAAAATAAAAATAAATTCACACATTTGTCACGCAATAATGTATCATGTGAGTTAGAAATGATTACAACTGCTAAAAAATAAAGTTTTATTTATGGCATTTATTTCAAATTGCAGGAGAATGGTGGAAAGCGGACACAGAGAGAGTAATCAACCAAGCTACGCAAACAGGATTGGCTCCAAATGTCTCAGATGCCTACACCATGAATGGCCTCCCAGGACCTCTCTATAACTGCTCAGCCAAAGGTAATGTACTTTATATTAACTAGTCATTTCACTTACATTATAAAAATACATGCTCAATTGTTACTTCCCATCAATTGGGCAAAAATTTGGACCGATTTGGTTCATTAATTCAAACATAAATTCTTCAACTTTCTTTAGTTTGTTACGAAGGAAAACACTATAATAATAAAAAAAAAATTATAAAACAAATAAAGACTTCATATTAAGGATTCGTTTAGTTCGCTGATTCGAGTTTTTAATTCGAATCGAAATGTAATTTTGTGTAAAAGCTTTTCACTATAGTAAAAAAGTTAGATGCGATTATTTCTAAGAGCTTTTTACTATAATAAAATTAAAATTTTAAATTCGAATCGGTGAAATAAATGGGACTTAAGTTTTGACACGTCTCAATATTTCACATACAGATACATTCAAACTCAAGGTGAAGCCAGGGAAAACCTATCTCCTACGTTTAGTCAATGCTGCACTCAATAACGAGCTGTTCTTCAGCGTGGCCAATCACACGTTGACAGTTGTCGAAGTCGACGCGGTCTATGTGAAGCCTTTCAAAACCCAAACTATACTCATTACGCCAGGACAAACCACCAATGTCCTTCTAAGGACCAAGCCCAAGGCCCCTAACGCCACCTTCGTCATGGCAGCCAGGCCCTACATCTCTGGGCCGGCTGCTTTCGACAATTCGACGACCACGGCCCTGCTCGAATACGAGAAGGCCTCAAGCCCAAACGACAAGAAGAAGAAGAACAACAACAGGAATAAGCTCCCACTTGTGAGACCAGTCCTTCCCCAGCTTAACGACACGTCGTTTCCATTCAAGTACAACCAAAAAATCCGTAGCTTGGCCAATGCAAAGTTCCCTGCAAAAGTCCCAAAAGCAGTTGACAGAAAATTCTTCTTCACCGTTGGGCTGGGATTGGGGTCATGCTCAAAAAGACAAGCATGCCAAGGCCCAAACAATACCAGGGTGTTGGCGGCCATTAACAACGTTAGTTTTGTCTTGCCCAACACGGCCCTTTTACAGGCCCATTTCTTTAACAAGACCAAGGGCGTTTATACAACAGATTTCCCCGCCAACCCACCTTTCAAATTTAATTACACTGGAAACCCGCCAAGCAATATGTTGGTGAACACAGGAACAAAGGTTGTGGTACTTCCCTATAAGACTAGTGTAGAGTTGGTTTTGCAAGACACAAGCATTATAGGGGCAGAGAGTCACCCACTTCACTTGCATGGTTTCAATTTCTTTGTGGTGGGATTGGGTTCTGGAAACTTTGATCCCAAAAAGGATCCTTCCAAATTCAATCTTCTTGATCCCGCCGAGAGGAACACAGTCGGAGTACCGTCCGGCGGGTGGGTCGCAATACGGTTCCTCGCCGACAATCCAGGTTAGCATCTCTTTGTTAGTTTAGGATCCGTTTAGTTCGCTGATTTGAGTTTTTAATTCGAGTTGAGATGTGACTTTATATGAGAACTTTTTACTGTAGTAAAAAAGTTAGATATGATTGTTTCTGAGAATTTTTTACTGTAACAAAACTCGAATCGATAAAATGAACGAGACCTTAAACTTTAGATTTACTGTGCAATGATAAGAAATTTGTAATAGAACAGGGCGGAGGCAAGGAAGTTTTTCATGGGAACACTAGACATATATTCCTAATTACCTAAATAGACCACGTCTATAATTCAGTTTAATTTGATTTTAATGTTTCAGTTAGTTTAAAGTGCGGGAACTTTTAAAGTTTGTTTAGCTTTTTATATTTCAAACAATGTGTATAATTGAAGGCAAAACGAATGGCTTAATTGAAAATCTTTAAACAACTTATTTTAGGAGGGAAAAATAGGGGAAAAAAAATCAATTTGGGAAGAAATCAATTCTCATAGAGCTCAAGTTGACTCCGTCCCTAATGTGATACCATAAAACAAAAGTAGAAGAAATAGTATTTTATCATGTTAATGTTTTAGAAACTTTCAACTTGAATGGTAATTTACTATTGTTAAAAAGGAAATTTTAGGTAAATAGTATAAAAATATTAATATGCATATATATATATATATTTGTGGATAGTGAGTTATAATTAAGAGTTCTAATATGTTTCATGTTTGTCTTGATTGGAATTTGGTTATGTAATAGGGGTGTGGTTCATGCACTGCCACTTGGAAGTACATACTAGCTGGGGCTTAAAGATGGCGTGGGTTGTCTTGGATGGAAAGCGTCCCCATCAAAAACTGCCTCCTCCACCGTCCGATCTTCCCAAATGTTAAATTCAAAAAATTTTCCACTTTTTTTCTGTCTTTTAATTAAAAAATGAGGATTATTTTCTTGTCTTGTAACAATCCAAAGAGGGTCACGCAAATTGCAAAAGGGATTAAAGGCTCGTATGGAGGGAGAAAATTTGATAGGATTTGAGTAGGACTAGGTTATCTTCATTTTTATCCCATTCAATTGTTTCTTTTTCTTTGAGATAATAATTCAAATGTTTGTCTTGGATGTAATGTCTTCCATATTCTTTGAAATGAAAAGAGAATCATATCTCAATATATTGGTGAATTCTATAAGGTCTCGTTTATTTCGCTGATTCGAGTTTAGAATTTGAGTTTTGTTACAGTAAAAAGCTCTCAGAAACAGTCACATCTAACTTTTTTACGACAGTAAAAAGCTCTTACACAACATCATATCTTAACTCAAATTAAAAACTCAAATTAGCGAACAGAACGGGCCCTTATCCCATCCTTTGTTTCTGGATAATTGTCAATCCCTTGTGACCACTTCAATTATGACAAAGCGTACTATTTATCAAATTAATAACTATCTAATAAAAGCGATTATAGGTTAGTGGTGGTATACATCCATAAAGTAATGCGTATATAAGACTCGTTTACTTCGCGGATTCGAGTTTTTAATTTGAACTGAGATATGATATTTTTTTAGAGCTTTTAACTGTAGTAAAAAAGTTAAATATGATATTTTTTTAAAAAATTTAACTGTATACATCTAGAACTGAAAACTTGAATTGGTGAAATGAACGAGCCCATAATGATTTACACCCTAGTCAATGGATGGAATTAATAATAGCCTATGAATTTGATTGACATTTTAATGACTACAAATTTGTACATACTACATGTGTGCAAATGAGAAAATAAGGCGTGATAATCCTATAATATGCATAGAGAATCGTATAACATAATTTTTGACTTCTTCTCGTCAAAAATCATGAATTTATCACGATATTTCCGATATGCGTCTTTTTCTTCTTGTATAATCTTTGGCCTTATTCACTTCGCGGATTCGAGTTTTTCAATTTGAGCTGAAATGTGATATTTTCTGAGAGTTTTTTACTGTAGCAAAAAAAAGTTAGATGTGACATTTTATGAGAGCTTTTTACTATAAAAATCTAAAATTAAAAATTCAAATCGGTAAAATGAACGAGGCATTTGACTTCTCATTCTGATATTCCTCAACGAGCACAGTTTTAAAATTTAACTAACATAAGAGAAACGACAGAATATTTGGGCGTTTTTCAGCGCCGGCCTCACCAAATCACACTGTACTATACCTTTTTTTAAAAAGAAAAAGAAAAAAGAGAAACAAAATGCCGACATTTTTATGTTGTACATTCTGGACAAGCGTATCCTTTTATTTGAATTGCTTTATCTTCACGTAATGGACTTATCCGTTAGGTTGGTATAATTTACAAGACTAATGTCGTTTATTTACCCTTTTTTTTGGTTGGGAGGGAAATAATGCTTTAACTACACTCTTTCATTTTTCATTAATGAAAAATGTGTTTTAAATCAAATACAATTGATGTCAATTACCCAAAAAAAACAAAACAAAACTCTTTTATTTATTGAAAAAAAAGTATGCTCTTTTATAAGGGAATTTTAAGATAAATTTTATTTTTCCCCTAATTCACTTTGTCCCTTAAACTTTAAAAAGTAGTCTACTCACCCCTCAAACTTTAAAATACTAGCAAAAATGTCTCTTCTATTACATTTCCTTAGTGTTAAGCTGATGTGGCACAAAATTAAACACAAAAAAAACCTTAATTTTAGCTAAAACTTTATTGTCAAAGAAATTAATAATAAGGGTATGTATATGGTAGGGGCGTTTTTTCCCCCTACCAATAGGGTGAAATTGTAAGGTTATGTGCGGTTGGATTTTTAGTGGGTCTCAATTATTAAAGGAGAGTCACTAGAGTTGATAACATGGGATTGTAATCTAAACAGTACTTTACATGTCTAGTCAACTGTTGCGCCTCAACGCATTTTGGGGAGAACCAGCTAGCTCTAGGTTCGAGTGGCATTTTACTCCTAACTAGTTTTGTGCATGTTATGTCGAATTCGGATAGCTGTAGCAGCCATCTTGCCAACCGTCCGGAGAGTACTGGTCGCGTCAGGAGATACTTCAAGGGGTCCGACTTCACCATTAATAGTAGCTTGTGTGACAGAAAATAGTGTCGCAATCTCTGTGAAGCATAGACCAACGTGAGACAATTCCTCTCTGTTTCAAGGTACCTAAGCTCAGCGTTACTCAATTGACGACTGACATAGTAAACAGGTCGTTCGACACCGTCTTCTCCTTCTTGTGCCAGAAGTGCTCCTATTGCTGAGGTAGTGGAGGCAAGATATATCCGGAGAGACTTTCCTGGGCTTGGTGCGATCATTGTCGGCAGATTGGTAATCAAGTGTTGGATCCTTTCGAATTCCCGCTGGCTGGTGTTACTCTATCCATTTGAATGCAACGTCTTTTTTCAAGAGCAGCTTGAAGACGGCCACTTGCGCAGCGAGCCCCAGGATGAATCGCCGAATGTAATATAATCTTCTGAGAAAGCCCTTCAACTCCTTTACCGTTGTTGGGGCCGCTGCTGCCGTGATTCCCCATACCTTGGCAGGGTTAACATTGATACCTCTCCGGTGGACCATAAAACCCAGCAAATCTCCCGCCAGATACGCCAAAGGCGCACTTCTTTGGATTCATCTTGAGATTGTATTGTCGGCATCTGTTGAAGACTTTGGTTAGCGCGTCCCAATGACCTTCTCTCGTTTTTTATTTTACAACCAATTCATCAGCATAGTCTTCTACCTCCTTTCCCATCATGTCATGAAATACAACCGTTATTGCCCTTTGGTATGCAGCGCCAGCATTCTTGAGTCCGAATGGCATAACAGTATAGTAAAAATTATCAAAGAGGGTTCAGAATGCAGTTTTTTCGGCGTCCTTTGCAGCCATCTTAATTTGGTTGTATTCACTATACCCGTCCATGAAAGAAAGCATTCCTTGCCCAGCCGTAGAGTCCACAAGGATGTCCATGTTTAGGAGGGGGAACTCATCCTTTGGACATGCTCGGTTGAGGTCCCGAAAGTCCACACAAATCCGCACTTGCCCATCTTTCTTTTTTACTAGAACGATGTTGGCCAGCCATGTAGGGTGCTGGATTGGCTTGATGAATCCTGCCTCGATCAATCTTTCCACCTCCTTCTTGATTTGTATCTTCATTTCTGGGTGCAGATTGCGTCGCTGCTGCTTTACCAGTTTTATATCAGACTGAGTGTTCAACGCATGGCTAATCATGTTTGGGTCCAGCCCCGACATTTCCTCATAGCCCCATGCAAACACGTCGATATTTTGTTTTAACAGGTCGACCAAACGATTTCTCTCTTGTGAGGATAACTGGGTGCTTATCGAGATTGGCTTTTGAATATTCAGGTTACCGCTTGAATTTATCTCCTCCAGGGACTCTATGACAGCGTCAGATCCATCTTGCATTTGCTTTGGCGCTGGTGCCGGTTGCTCCTTAGGCTCAATTTTGCTAGGTACCGCCCTTTCCATGCAAAAGAATGACTCCTCCTCTTTTGACCCGGGGCCTTCCAACGCCCGATGGCCAGGCCCCCCAGACCATCACAATCGGTAAACTATCTGTCCGTTGGGCAGTGTGACTTTGATGCACTGAGTGTCTACCTCTTTCTTCTTTCTTTTCTTTTCGAGCACACTGAGAAGATCATTGTCACTTAATTCTCTTATTTCTTCACAAGGCAATAACGGTGTGCCGGTCGTCTTGCAAACATCACACTCCCATCGGTCGGTAAAGTCCTCGTAGAATTCGACATCAGCGTAATGGGTTTCCGTTCGGTCGAAAGTAGTCTGGTTGGCTGGGATGCGAATGACCTTAGTTCCCAATCATCCTTTTACGCACTGATGGTAAATGGAGCAAATTAACTTGTGTTTGTTCAGCCATGGTCTCCCGAGCAGGATGTGGTAGCTCACATCTACATCCAGGACGTGAAACCTGGTTTGCGAGCGTATGGGCCCGGCCTTAAGGTCGAGTTGGATACAGCCAATGGTCGTCTCGGTAGAATTCCTGAATCCCGCGATCTGTACTTCTAATTTCGTGATTCTCTTGCGGGGTATTCCTGCGGCAGTAAGGGTGGCCAGGGGAATAACATTCACAAAAGATCCTGTGTTCACCAGGGCACGGTGGACGTGTACGTCATTGATTTGGACTTCTAGGTACTGCGGTCGCTTGTGATCAGGGTATGCCACTTCCATGTCTTCATCGGTGAAGGTCACTGAATTTGGGCTTTCTAGGAATACGCGACTTGCCTGAGCCTCGTTGACGTAGCACTGGGGTCCGTGTTCTGCCGAGATCTTCCTCAATGCTTCTGTCGCCATTAAACGAGCCTGCGATCTGTATCCGAGCTGATCATATAATGATTTAAATTTCAGGCTCCGATGGAGTGCTCGGGCGATTGTTGATCGCTGCACATTCCCCTCGTTGCTTCCGTCATTAGTTTCCCCAGGACATATTATTACTGCGACGGTGTGCCGAGTGTTTGATGAATTCCCAGATGATGGGGTATCATACAGGTCCTCTTCCATAAGCCTATTCACCTCAGAAGGGCTCATGAGTTCACCAATGTTATCCAGACTGTCCTCGGAGTAACATAGAGGCTCCCGAAATTGGGGTACCCCCTCTGCTGGGTCACCACTCAGCCTCAGAATCATCCCAAAATTGGTTTTGTGCTCGTCGAGACCGAGGGTAATCGCGGGTTCTTCCTCTTCTTTAAACCTCTGAACGAGAGGTCCATGCCACTCTATTTTCTTGCTTATTCCTCCCACAGCTCTTTTAAAAGCCTTATGTGAGCTTTCCTCTTCCGGTGTGTCTTCAACTGGGTGCAAATTCTTCAATCCCCTATTCCCTGTCGCCCCCTCGTGCCACTGTGTTAAGTGTGCCAGTCTTTCTGGTGTGTTTATCATCCCA